ATCAAAAGTTATTTGCGAAAAACTGTTAGATGCCATTCGTGACCTAAGATGACCTCAGGGCATAAACAGGGGTCACGGACACCATTTTCATGTTCAGTGTGTCTAAAACACTTGTAATTCAGTGTTTGGGAGTGTTTATAATGCATTTCGTCCAAAAGAGGCGCATTTCAGTTTTCTCCCATTGACTTATAATGGGGAGGTCGCAAAATTGACCTGACCTTAGGTCATCGATATCAAAACTCTGAGATATACATTTTGTACATGCTATTGCTCTTAGCAATCGCTGAAAGTTTCAAAGCGATCGGTCACTCGGTGTAGCTATGACAGACATTGAAACTTTTTATGAGGTGAGGTCACTTCAAGTGACCTGGTGACCTGACCTTGAATGACCTTGGTCTGAAATTTTCACAACATGTGTAGAATTGATGTATGATAAGGTGTACCAAAAACGGCGGCACGGAGCGCCGCCATTTTTTTAGATATTCGCGAAAAACCACAAGGGGGGTGTTTGTGGAGTGTGGGTCCCGCGCGCAGTCAAATCAGCAGCTCTGGCGCAGCGGCAGCATTCTCCCCTACCCTCCCCGTCGGGACCCGTCCGCGACCATCCCGGCGTGATTTGGTGCGCCGCCGCGTGAGAAGTATATATGTGTTGTTACTTGTTATTGATTGTTATGTTTGTTACGTCGCGTACCACGGGGCTGTGATGCTTGTGTGCCTTGTATCGCGTTGGTGGGCGCTCCGCCGGCCGCTGCCCGCGCTCGCTGTAGCGCCGGCCAATCGGAGGGCCGGGCCGGGCGGCTAGCCCCAGGCGCCGGCCGAACTGACCTGGGGTCGGGATTCGGAGCGGCTGTCAGTCGGCTCTCGATCTCTGCGCGGTACGTGCCCGTCCGGACACGTGCTCTCAGGGCTCGGGCGTCGCTCCGGCGATTTGAGGCCGTCCCAATAAGCTAATACTGGTGGTTCGCCCTTGTGGACGACCATTTTGATGCCAGTATTCCCCCTAAATCTAATACGTTTGCATCTCTACGGAGTATGGTTTCGGCCGTTCGGTCGATTCGAACCTACTCGTAAAATTTCCTTAGCAATTTTCCCATAGTTATCCTCTCGTGATCTGGCTTAGCTCCAGTTTAACTCCGTCCATAGCGCCGTTTCACCTCAGGGTTAACACGCGACAGTACAATTGCACACATCAGCGGTATGCGCTCATGTTCGACAACTCGATGCGTCTGACTCGTTCTGTGATTCATGTCTGTCTTTGCTGGCAAGTGTTTAACCAGCTCATGTCTCGTTCTTGATTTGTCTTGATTTTCGGCACGCATGAGTAAGACTTGTGCGGAGGTTTCTCCGACAAGGCTTTTGACAATACATTTAAGACGTGCTAAGTACAGCTTTGACCTGGCGGTCGCGTTGATCAGTCGGCTAGTCCATTCTCTCAAATGATACAGTCCACTTAAAGCTCTCCACACCCACTTCGACTGCACGTCCCCCGCCACAGTAGGGTGCCAACTCGGGCCACTCTCTGCGGACAGCGGCAGGGCCGCTCCAAGTTTCGACGTGCAGGGCGACCTTAAACATCAACACGGGGTAGCGGCCACGACAGTGTTCAAACACCCCCCCCCCCCCCAGCAGGGCGCGGGTTAATCACCCCATATGAACATACGCTCGCTATTTGATCACTGGACACGCATCATGGTCTTCCATTTTCGTGAGCACATGACCTAAAACAGCTGAAAAGGCGCGTTTAAACATATCCTGGCCGATACTGGCGTTTATATGCTCCAGTGTTTACATAGCTCCGATTTGATCCATCTGTACTGTGGTTTACACACATCTGGAACTGTGGTTTAGCTCTGCTATAGATAGTCTTCAGCGCGCTGGCTTACAACGTTATTTACATTTCCTTCGCTCATTATAGTATAGCATTACCTGTCCTATAGCAGGAATGTAGGTCTGAATGTTGCAAGGCTATTTGAGATGTTTCCAGTGACGGTTTTATGCAATCAATTGCAGTAGATGTTTCCATCTAAGCTTTAGGAATGCAGTGCTGGACGCTTACAGAAGCTGTAGGCAGATATGTCATAAATATTCCTTGGGCTGGCATGCTATGGTGTACTTAAACGAGCATGGGGACCGGGGACCGGGGAATATTGCCAATTATAGCTGTTTTCCGATTTTATACAAAGCGCCGTCTTACAACTAAAAAAAGAACACAACAAGAAATGTATGATGCATGACCGCTCACTCGGCGGTAACGAACGAACGAACAATACCTTCTGGCTTTTTATTTGAATACACACTGATACATACGCATTGTTTCAAGCTTTCATAAAAAATACATTTTTTTGCACTGTATAGAATATCGGACTCTTGCATCCCGCGTACTCTTATCCGACGTTACCCTATAATCAATTAAGGAGCTCGAGACCTAAGTACGGCTAAGGGGCTTTATCGATTTCGTTTCAATGCTAAGTCGTCTATATTCTAAACGAACTTGGACCATCTTGCAATAGTTTTGGCCTTCCAGTTGACGTAGCTATAATACCAGATGACGATTCCTAACCGTTCCTGTCGGTTCAGTGGGCTGAAGGCGGACTACAAGTGCACTCGTCGTGGCCCGTGCTCACTGGCAGCCTATGAATTGATATGGACACTGGCAGTGCCAGTGCACTTGGCACCTACCGAAATGAAAACTGATCAGCAGGATTTTAAGACCATTTGACTGACTGAAACGTGTTCACTGTGCACTTTGAGTTGTGTATCAAGTAGCTTTCAGTTCAATGCAACTCACGGGCGCCATTACCACAGCAGAAATACCAGCTCGTACCTATACATATACGTTCTCAGATCACTGGGAGCGCTCAATGGAAACAACATGCTGCGTTTTAGCGCTGTGCCTATTGTTGATGACGTTTTGCAGCACGGGTATCTGAAGCGGTGCCGGTTAAGAGCTTTATACTGTGATCAATAGTCCAGTTATTGCTTAGGTTATTTATTTACTAGGACAGGAAACAGCGATGCAAAGTGAAGGAAACGCATTCATTGCAGATAACTACTTGAAGGGGAACGGTTCAGCAGTGTTGAAGTAAATCTTCCCATTTTTCTCCTCCGTGCAAATACAAGGAAAGCACGTTCTATGCCTATTGGAAGGAGCTTTGCCAGGCTGCTCTATGTAGAATAGACGAAGCTGATTTGTTTATACCGCATCACACCACATCACTTCCACATTTTTTTTTTGTTCAGAACACAGAGATGGTAGTTAACAGTTACTTAGGTACTGTTTACTTTGTGGAGATGAGACATCTCACACAGCTGCTTCGAGTTTCTCGTTTGCTTATGTAGCTATGATTGGTTCGCCGGTTTTCGACATCCGTGGAGACCCGAAGACGTTAAAACGCTTACCCCGCCACGGTGCGAGTAACAACAAAGGCGTAGGCGTTACCGACTGCACTGCTACACTTCACAGGGCACTATGTACAGGTGCACCCCAGCCTGCATAACGCATATTTTCTACACATAAGTTGACTTCAACACAGCAGCAGTAGGCTAGCAACGGTACCAGACATGTCAATCTATTGCTAAGTTCTGGGGTGATACCAGAACTTCATCGATACCAAGGTATTAGATAACAAAGTGAGCTTAACCCTCGCCGGCCGAGGGGGGGGGGGAGCGGGTGCCGCCCCCCATAGGTTTTTTTCGCGATAGCTCCGAACACGCTGGCGATAGAGAGCTGAAACTTGGCATACCTGACCTTTAATCCAAGCCGCATCTTTTGACACCAACCGCATTTTTTGGTCAGGTCAGGTCACTGACCTATGACGTCATAAGTGAACCTCTGCACGGTCTTCAGATGTCGCAACTTCGCAACGCCCTCACTGCCAGAGGAGATGTCACAGGGAAATGAAACTTGCAGGATCTAGTATCCATTATGAGTCTCACAACTTGTATATCTCGGATTTTTCCTAAAGGTCATATGAGGTCAGGTAATTTTCGTGACCTCACCATTATAAGTCAATGGGGAAAAAATGAAAACTGCTATTCTGGCGCCGGGAACGATCTCCAACTATCTCAAGCACACAGAATCGTGATTTGATGCACTCCTTGCAAGGTTAGATGCGTCCTTTTTGCAATGTTGACCTTGCGTGACGTCATTTATGACGTCATCAAGGTCATATTAGTTTTTCGTCAATAACTCCCGATCAAATTGAGATAGCGAGTCGAGAAAGCCACCAATGGACTCAGGAAGACATGCCGAATCGAATGATATGCGACATGACCTCTTTCGACCAACTTCGTGACCTGGGGGTGCTGACATGACCTTGACCTGAGGTCAACACCCTAAGTTGACCTGACCCGAACAAAAAGTATATCATTCGACGCGCCTGAGCGAGGCAAACACGATGCTGCCAAATTCGCGGCTCTGCGGCCGTTTTTTGCGAAGTTATTCACCAAAAACTGAACCGTACCTTGGGGCACTTGACCTGACCTCAGAGGTCACCGGTTGACCTAGGACCTTAAAATCGGGTACCAATCTCTGCGTCTCGTAACGGCGCACACGCTCGTTTTTTCTGCGACGCGCTAGCTCCACCAGGGGCGAAACGGCGAGGGGGGGTCGTACCCGCCCCCCCCCCCTCGGCCGGCGCGTATGTAGAAAACCAATAGGTCCGGCAAGGGTTAATATGCTTGGCAATCAATGGAATCGATTAAATATAAAATGTCAGTTGTCAAGAAAACTGTTCAAGCAATTTCTGGCTGGTCTCTTCGTGATGTCGCTGGCAGCGAAGCAGAACATTACCTTCGAATTCAAATGGGTAATGTTTTAATTGACATGGGAGCTTGAAGATAACAAGTGAAGCTAATAATTGTTCACGGAAATGGCAGAACCCTGCCAGTTACCAACTACCTGTCTAATAAATATTCATTTACAGTTGCAGCCACCTAAAGCCCCCACAGAAAACAACAGGTGCCTTTCTGGACAGTGACCTCCCGCCCCCACCCCTCACCTCCGATGTGATGGTGGCGAAGAACTTGTCCGTGTCGAAGGCCCACTTCCTGCAGGCGGTGACGGAGCGGTCGCCCTGCACGGGGTCTCCATCCGACCCACAGGCCCCTCCGGCGGGCAGCGATCCCCCGGCTCCGTCCACACAGCGCAGCGGAGGGGATAGCAGGACCAGCACCTGCGTGTAGTAGGTCAGCGCGCAGACGAACGTCGACGAGCCGATCAGCCCCACGCAGAGTGCCCGCTGGTAGAGACCGAACCCGCCAACCGACTCCAGCAGGGTCTCAAAGGTGGGCGGCGAGCTCCAGGGGGTGGTCGACTTCTTCAGGGAGGCGCTAGAGGCGCAGGGAGTCGGCAGGGGAGCGGGAGAGACTGAGTCGGGATCCGGGGCGGCCTCCCGACCGGCGACGGGACCGCGGTCCAGCGCCTCCCCGGGAGCTCCATACGCGTCCGCCGACATCCCGACCACATCTGAAGAGCGGTGTTTGGGCTCGGCGCCGCCGGCGGGCAGGGGGAGGGGGACTCGGGGCGCCTGCGGAGATGGAGGTCGGGCTCGCACTGGCTGTGAGAGGTCCGTTCGCTCACGGTTACGTTAGATCATTAACCCGCGCCCCGTAGGGGGGGGGCCGAAACGGCCCCCCCCTGTCCTTTTCGGTCGATATCTCCTAAACGGCTGGAGATATCGCCACCAAACTTTCAGGACCCCTCCGGGCATCAATTTTACACATTGTGACCAAAAATTTTTCCAGAGGCTGAAATAGGTTGGCCACAAATGACGTCAGAGTGACGTCATGTTCTGTCATTTTCGACCGAAAAAAGACCTTCGCGAGAAGACCTGTCAGGCCTACAGCTTTGAAGATACAGAAAAATGATCAATACATAAAAGGTGTAGAATTGACCGGGCTACAAAACTGCTATCTCGGATTTTTGAAATTTTTGAGTTTTGATCCCCAAAAATCAAAAAAGCATTTTTTTGGATATATTAGCCAAAAAATCCAAAAAGTTTTTTGAGTTTCGAAAAAACCGGAATATATGTGACAGCACCTACCGTCTTCTATCTACATACCAAATTTCAGATCGATACCTCGTTTTTTGGCCAAGTTATAGCGAAAAAACTGTTCAAAAATGATGACGTCAAATTTTCAAACTCAATTTTTGGCAATTCTAGAACTCGTAGAGCAAAACAAAGACCACCATTAGACTCCCCGTGACGAGCTGCATCGAATGGATACCCATTTTATGCAAAAATATCAACTTTGAAATTTGACCTAATTTGACCTGACCTTGACCTGACCTTCACCAAAACGTGACCTAGGCTGGCCCCAAAGGCTGCCTAACCCACATAATCGCATTTGTCATGTAAAATGGACCATAAAACATGTATCACACGACACATTCATATTGTGACCCCCGGTGACCTGACCTCGCTGTGACCTGACCTGGTATCAGTGACCTCAGATAGCAAAGTATGTGTTTGACGAACAATATACCATCGATGGTTTTCAATAAATTACCAATTTACTCGATTTCACAGCACATTTCTTGAATTGCCTGTGAACGGTGAAAATCTGACCTTTGACCTGACCTGTGACGTCATCGGTTTGACCTAGGTCAATGAAATTTGGTCACAAGGTAGTTCCCGGGTAGGGCTATCAAACGCCGTTTGAATTTTGAAAATCGGCCGGTAACTTTCCGAGATCTTAGGGGGGGGCCGAAACGGCCCCCCCCCTACGGGTGGTAGGGTCCGCCGGTAGCCCTACGGGGCGCGGGTTAATATTAATTGAGGCTTAGTGAAGTATGAAAGAAAATAATTATTCATATGTTTAGATAGAAAGCCTTCTAATAAACTCTCCTCAAAAGCAACTAGGAATTGGAGTACTTGGGGCATATTCGTAAAACTCTTACAAGTTACATGAATTGTATTCCTATGTAAACGTTGTTGTTTGAGCAACTGAAAGTTGAATGTCTTGCAATATATAAATATTTTTGCATTTTGAATCTGAAGGATGCATAAATAAGCTTTCTCCCTCTTCTCTCTCTCACTCTCTCTCTCTCTCTCTCCCTCTCTCTCTCTCTCTCTCTCTCTCTCTCTCTCTCTCTCTCTCTCGCTCGCTCTCAAGTCGGCATTAACATTGTTCATGCCGAATATGCTTTTTCTCTTTCCTGAAATTCCTTTCGCATGCCAAGGCATTGCATTTCAAATATGATAGGCAACGAACTGTTGGTGCTAAAAGGAGGTTCTTGTCCAACCACCGTCATCTGTTTCTCATCTTCAAAACGCTCATCAGAAACAGGAGACGTCGAACATGGCTTTGAGTCATGCAATGTTGACTCCGACTCCGAAGTCGGAGTCGGTTAGATTCTAATAATTCCAACTTCGCCTCCGACTGCAACCCCGTAGCCCTACTAACAATGTCTAACGTACGGGGAGAGAGTCTTCAGAACCCTCCTCCACAGCCGTCTGATGGTGCTGGAGCTGGAGTTTCGGGCGAAAAGAAGGATCGTGTTGCCCGTCACAAAAGTCTGGAAACGTCGAGTGCCAAGCGGATAATACCTTCTATCACGTCTGGCACACATTTGCTTATATTTGGTGCGATTTGGTCACATAAGATTCATAGTTGAATCTTAGCAGTTCTCAGCTTAGGTTGCGTTAGTTGCTTATATAGGTACTTTATTATCAAATTATCAGAAATGATTTTCGAGTAAAGCATTACAATAGATTCCTGATATGAACATATATTTGCTGTAAAAGATATTTTGTTAGATTTGGTCAAGTTTGGTGCATTCGCCAGACAATCCGTTGTGAAAACGGCGACCGTGAGCTGACATATACCCCGAACCATTACTTTGGTCTGACATGATCTTGATGAAAAGGTCGCAAGCCAAAGTTTATGGGGATCAGAGTCATTAAATTTTAAAAGTAAGGTGTAAATAAGCAGAAAGTCTCGTCACAATACATCGTTATTTACCCGAGGCATTCGTGGAACCGGTGAGTGTGTGTATGTGTGTGTGTGTGTGGGGGGGTGTGCTGGATGACCCCTGCAATTGCGAAGGAAGCTGACAATCAGCATGCACGATTTAGATTACACTAGCTCAAGGCCCCATTGGCCACATGGTGCACTTTTCTCTCTCCTGTGTGCTAAATTCTATTGGCACAGTGCATACAAGCAACTGGTTACATTTTCATGATCACGTTGCACCACTGCATGTGATTGCCACTGCAATTTTTACGCGTTTGACGCCCGATGATATCACAAAGTTCTCGCGGCACTGGGAATGCATATGGCGCAAAAATGTGACATTTGACGCCGCTAATTGGTGACGTTAAATATTTATGAAGACGGGAAGGCAAGGAGACTGTAATTAGTAAATGGTGCAGCGTACAGTACTGCAGCCAGACTAGCTGGAAAACTGCATGGAGGCGATATTGCAACGGGAACAGTAAATAGGTATATCATACAATATAAGTATTTGGCTTCAGATGGAATGCATTCCTTGCAAGCTGTTTCGAACACCGATATTTAGTGGGTGTAGAGTGAAAGGGTTCCCTGGTTGTTACTGCTTTTCAGCACCTTCGATACCTATCAACTATCAGTTTTAGGAGTTCAGTTATGTGACAATAATGTATCGAGAACGAAAGCGCACTGTCAAATGGACAAGTTTGCACCTGAGTGTCGTTTATGGTGGCATATGGTAAATTTATGTGACTTATATGGGCCACGTATATCCCGCGTCCGATGGCAGCTAAATCAGGAACGTCGAAACCCGTAACGGTGTATCTGCCTTCGGTTTTCCACAGCATACTAGCCAATTTTCAACACTCGATACCCGACTCGAACGGTATATAAGTGGCATCAATTTCTATCTAATGTCATTGACATCAGCACCTCTGATGGCGTCACAGGTCAGCTGGAAAGGTACAGGTCCCGCGGGTTTTAAGCGTAGGTTTTGCCTTTCCGGCTATATCTTTTTCGTCTTCAGCTTTGTAGGCTTGAAGATGTGACCGATTTATTCATATAACTCCCTTTCATGATCATGGAAAAAGGTTTGATCGTATGCCGGCTAGTTCCGGAGAAATTAAAAGAAAACCTCAAAATCTGCCGTTTGGGGCATTCTGACCGCGGCTTCCCTGCAGTCGCCTATGACTACAGTGGTGCCACCCAACGGGTAGGACGCTGAAACACAGAGACATGAATGAATCCAGCGCGTGGTGAACGGTGGATAGAGGCGGGACTCGGCAGAGGCTATCACTGCGGCCCGCGCAGGGCGTCCTTGGATGCAGCGGGCGGGCCTTCGGGCGGTGAGGCCAGAGGTCACGACAGCCAGGCGCTGTTTGGCATGAAGGGAGGGGAGGCGCTCGCCTTAGCCAGCCTCGCCTCAGCCAACTCAGCCGGTTTGGTGGTAGCGGTGGTGTTGTGGGGGGGGGGGGGGGGGCAGGCGAAAGGGGCTAGAACGAACGGGATAAAATAGAATGGAAATTTCGTGCCAATGTCAACTTACAATATTGTTTACCTAATATGCATTTATTAACCTTACGAAAGAACTCACCATATTGAATTGAGAAACATACAGATGTTATTTATCGATGTTACCGTTTACTTTTGATGGAAACCCTACTTTTTACTAGGGGTGATAAAATGAACCCCTCTCCTTGGTTTTTCCTGAATAACTCGTGTAAATAGTGGCGGATAGCAGCGAAGCTTTCTGTGCCGTAAGTTATTTTTCTCCCCATAAGTAAATAAATGCCCATGCGGTCAGGAGTCAGGATAAGTTTGGACTTCAGGCCATCTGCAATTGAAAGCTCACACCTACCCTGAAAATTTCATGAACCTGACCAAAATGACCTCTGGTCTGTGACCAGTTTCTAGAGCCCATTATAGGCCAGAATTCGGCGTGTCATGTCTCATTAACCGTTCGTTTCTAGACTTAAGATTAGAAACGTTCCAACATGTGAAATTGTGTTTGGTCCCTTGTGTCTTATTTGGCCGGGACCAGCGGTGGAACTTGGCCGGTGCCTTCAGGGCTGCTTAACTACAAATTTGCCGATCTGCGGAGCGTATGGAGCCAACCTAGCCAGGTTTAAAAGAATCAAAACCACTAGGAATAGCATTGTAGCACAGCCAATCTTCAAGCTTTCCGCGCCTCTAGAATATCTGCTGTTTAGCTGCCGGTTTCCGGTCACATGGCCTAAAGGCGAGGTCACTAGCGATGGAAATGGAAACACGTTGGGCAGGCTAGCTGTGAGAAGGATTAACGTTCGTTTTAAATCCGTGCATTGTCGCTTAATAACTATACCGACCGTTTTCTAAAAAGGCTAATTTCTTTCTCTCTCTCTCTCTCTCTCTCTCTCTCTCTCTCTCTCTCTCTCTCTCTCTCTCTCTCTCGCTCTCTCTCGCTCTCTGCGTCTCTCTGTCTCTGAGGCCAGCTCTGGTCATCCTATGGAGCACTTCGCACATAGGC